GGTTAGGGGACTGAAAGGGTTGAAAATGACATTCAATGGGAGTCATCACATGGTCCTCAATGCATATAGCAGAACAAACGAGGGTGTGTGTGTGTGTTCCTATGTGTCTCAGTGGAGCCCATGTGTGAGTACATGTGTGTTGTTTGCATGTGGAAGGGGTTAAAGGTTAGATGGTGTTTCTGGTAACCTGATCTAGGCCTGAGCGTGAGTATTAGCTTTTCCAACACGCTGAACCGGACTCACTTTCAGCTTTCCTCTCCAACTGGACACCAAAGATGCTTCCTGTCAACTTCAGCCCAGCCATGTCTAAACATTTAGAAACAACCTCCTTGGAGGGTAATCTGAACTTACGAACCTTTATGTCAGCACAGTGAGTCTGCCTGAAATAATCGTTCTTCCACACCACGTCTACTCAGTGGTTGGACCTTCCACCATAACATACAGGGACGTTTTGATAAGGAGGGAGGGGCCAAATCCAAAATAACACTTATTGTTTTGAGAGCAGGCTGCTCAGGAATTTACCTTCAGCCTTAAAGTCTTTAGTCGCTGGGCTCCACATGACGAATCCAATATTCCATATTTGTTGGGCTTTTCCGCCTTGAGGCGAGCGTGAACATCCAAGACATTATCCCATCTCACCTTTGAGTTCAACCACCGCAGCCAGCCTGCGCTCAATCGCACCCAGCATACGGCTCAGCTCCCGATCTTGCTCATTCACAGCCTTTGTGAGGGCGTGAACCGCTGCAGGCGGCCTGATCAATGCCCAAACTGCTGCCGACATCCTCTGTAATTATAGATACATCAGGTATCCTCCAAATCCAAACACGAGAAATCTGAGTAATATAAATCCAAACATCCTCCACTGACATCATTGTAAAACAAACCATCCTCCAAGCCTTCCAGGAGTCCATGGTGTATCCCACGAAGTATGTCCCGGCAGGACAGGACGGGTCCCCTTTTCCCTGACTTCCAGTTGAGAAAATTTGATCAATTCCCCTGACAGACCAGCTGACCAGATCCAGTGTTTGAGTTCGGTTGAAATGAAGAAAGAGTTCAGAAAAGACAAGACAGCAAAGCAGAGACAGTTCAACAGTGTTGAAGATAACTTGGTCCAGACTCTCTGTGGACCTTGTGTGGTTCTGAAGAACCACCATTCTGGACCTGGCCCTCACACACAGCAGAGACTGAACCTCCAGCAGCAGATCATCTTCTACTCCTCGATCATTTAGTCCGTCCTGCTGGGTTGGATCGTCTACAGAACAGGAAATGAAACTCCGCTCATCTTCATTAGGGGAACCTTCTGATGCTGAATGAAGGAAACACCTGATTAATCTGATGTTTTCACCTGCATTGATGTTCTCCTTGTCTTTTTTCATGCCCTCGTCTCATTGGACAGCTGTCCCTGAAGCTGGTTAGTATGCATCCCGGTCTGTCCCAGATCCACACCTGAGTGGCTCCTAATGAAGGTTGCTGAACTGTTGCAGGGCTCCAGCCTGACCGACTGCAGCCACCTTCCTCCTGAGCAGAGGCGCAAGAAGCTTCTGACCCGAATAAACAACATCAACCAGGAGATCCAGAGAGAGCGAGAACAAAGGTAACAATGCCCCCCCTCCCCTGGGGGGGTGGAGAAGGTAGAGGACCTTCACCTCTGACTGCAGTCAGAAGGTCAGAAGCATCCATAGAACCTAGAATATGATCCTGACTGGATAAAAGTTCTCAATCTAGATGTCCAATGTCAGAGCTTCACTCTACATGCAGTCATCCACACCTTGATGCTGCAGCCACAGCTGCTCTGGGGCCCGCTGATAGAAGAGAGGCTGCAGTAGGGGCCAGCTGAGTCAGAGGAGCCACATCAGTACAGGGCATCTACCATTAGCAAGCTGGGATTTAAACCAGCAACCCTCTGACTGCAGGGTGAGCTCCTACATCCTGATTCCTTCATCTCTGCTAGAAACGTTAAAAACATCAGCTGATCTGAAAAGAAACGATCATAGATCTACGTCAGGAGAACCAGGGGAACCTTCTGGATGGAGATGATCACGAAACAGACCAGGAGTCGGCTCATCTTCATCATCATCATCATCATCATCATCATCATCATCATCTTCTTCATCATTATCACCATCTTCATCATCATCATCATCACCATCTTCATCATCATCATCATCACCGTCATCATCTTCATCATCATTACCATCTTCATCATCACCATCATCATCTTCATCATCATCTTCATCATCTTCTTCATCTTCATCATCATCTTCATCATCATCACCATCTTCATCATCTTCATCATCATCTTCATCATTATCATCATCACCATCATCATCACCATCATCTTCATCATCATCATCATCATCTTCTTCATCTTCTTCATCATCATCTTCATCATCTTCACAATCATCATCATCATCATTATCATCATCACCATCATCATCATTATCATCATCACCATCATCATCATCGTCATCATCACCATCATCTTTATCATCATCATCATCACCATCTTCATCATAATCATCATCATCACCATCTTCATCATCATCACCACCATCATCATCATCCTCAGGGTAGCTGCTGATTACAGGAAGAGAAAAGGTTTAGAAGTTCCGTTTGATTCCAGCTGTAAACAGTTGAACTGTAACTTTAAGGAGTTTTACCTCCAGCTGAAAATGATCCTGTAATAGTTTATAAACTTCCTGCCTCCTGCTGCGGCTCTGATGGACTCTAAACTTCACCGCCGTCGTTTTAGAAATGCTTTTACCAACATGCCTGTAAATGTGTTTCAGCAGAAGGAGGTTGGTCCTCCATCCTTCCACTATTGATTCATAATCAATCCAGGTTTCTCCTCATTATGGAGCTCCATCACAGAAACTACATAAAACTCTCCTCAGGTTTCAAAAGGCCAAACTGTTAGCATTAGCATCTGACTGAATGTTCTCAGGAGGATGGACCTCCATGCTGCTCAGAGCGCCACCTACAGGTTGATCTGGTGGAGCCCACAGAATGACGAAGACTCCTGGAGGTTAGAGGAAGCTCAATTTAGGCCTTTTTTGTGGTTTTTAACTTGTTGCACTAAAGGAATGACTGAGTTAGAGCAGAACCGCTGAGCTAGATCCTCCAGATATCAAAGGTTAGTCAGGCTCAAACATTCTGCTCTGACGTCAGAACCCATTTAATGTGAAGATTTTGTAAATGTATTTGAGTTTTCTTCCTTCCAGGCATTAGAAGCAGAACCATAATTCACATCATCTAAGCATGCAGTCAGAAACTGGAGCCGTCAGACTCCGCTCTGTGTTTCAGAGACGCTCTGCTGAAAATGAGGGAGGTCTATGAACGAAGTCCACAGATGGGAGACGCCAGAAGTTTGGACCCTCGACTGGAGGAGGTGAAGCTGAACCTCCAGAGACTTGAGGAGGAATTGAGAAGGAACCAGGTGGGTGGTCCTTCTCAGAGCTCCTGGTTTCAGGGTAGGGGGGTAGGGGGCCCTGAACAGGCCTCTTATAGTACTTATAGTAAGAAATACATAAGAGGGACATTTCATATTTATTACTTTAAGCTTAGTCTGAGACTGAACCCACATAGCGGACACCTTGGCTGAATGGTTCAGAAGGATGAGAGGTTTATGTGTCATAAAACGTGATAACAATGTATCATGGCAGCAGCGACCAGAAACAGCTCCCAACGATTCCACAAAATACGCTGTTCAAAATGCTACAAACCAGGCATTAAGCCTTCATCTACGACCGCCAACGCCTGCTGGAGCTACGGTCACTAAGCGTTCTAAATACAGATATTCTTCACCGTTTAAATGTAAACGCAACAGCAGCGGGCTCACTTACCAGGCCAGGCCAGAGGAAGAGATGCACATGGCGGGCTAACGACAAAGCTATGGAGAAATCCTCACAGACCTCCGCTTCCATCAGTCCTGCTCACCCACATCCGCTCGCTGGAAAAAGATGGATGATCTCTGACTGAAACTCTCATTAAAGGAGGAGATCAGTAACTGCTGCTCCATCATTCTGACGAAGTCATGGCTGCATCCAGCAATACTGGACAATACTATTAGCCTGGAGGGGCTAACGCTAAACTGCGCCAATAGGAACAAAGAACTAATCGGTAAGACTAGATTTTTATGATGGTATTTCTACATCACTAAGAGGTCCTACTACATGCTACTAAGTTATTCGTATCTAATGTGAATATCACTAGTAGACCGTAGTACCAGTGAATCACCAGTAGGTGTCAGCACTGCAGTGGAAATGTCTCCAATCAGACAGATGATGTAAACGCTGACCCCGCCCTGACCTCCCCGCTGTTATAGGTTTGATTACGATAAGTAACCTTGAGATAAACAGCCGCACCTCCTGTTTGTGAATTAATGATTGTTGATATATTTAACCCCCACACACACACACACACACACACACACACACACACACACACACACACACACACACACTCCGAATCCAACCCCTACATGCTGCATGTTGATGTACCTCCGTCCAGTGATGTTTAGCTCTTCTTTAATATTTTACTTTATATAAATATTTTTTACAGTGTCTTGTCTGCAATGTGGCAATAAGAATAGTTGCCTTGATGCCAAAAAGAGCCCAACAGGTTTTACTTTCACAGGTGGAGCAGTACGGCTTTCGCCACAGTGTTCCGCTTGATTTATGCATAGAAATAGCTTTATTATAATCATGCAGTGAGTTTTACAGATTAAATGGACACTGCAATGTAGGTAGAACAGAACTTACTTTATATTTTTTAGGTTTCTAAGGATGCTTGTTTTCCTTCTCAGACTTTGTTTCAACTACTTTCCATCTTCTTCTTTTGATTTTTTTATTCCTCACAGTCATGTGATTAAGCAGGATGGAGAACATCCCGTTACCATGGAGACTCTTCTGTGAACTTTAACTTTATCTCTTTACGTTGGACTGTTCTGCAGAGAGAGAATTAAATTTATTCAAAGAAACGGCTGAAAGACGGTCAGACTCCTGATGGCTAAGTGATTATTAACCTTCCTGTGTCTGGGCTCAACCAGTGAAAGAAGCTAAATCTGTTTTGTGCAGTGTCCCTATCTAATAAAAAAATAAAATGTCCCATTGTTTGGAGTTTAAAAAATGCTGAGTAACAATCAGTTAACGTGAAACAGTTCAGTTCATCCATACAGATGAGCAGATCATGAAATTCCCAACCTTCCCTTCTGGTGTTCAGTGCAGATGGTCTCCAGGAACAGGGTTGTCTTCTCAGACTCACTCCAGCCTCTCTGGTCTTAAGTTATTGTAAACGTTAAATCTGAAGAGCCTTCTGAGAGACGTGTCCCTCTGAAGGAGTCCCAGCTCTCTGTCCTAGTGGACAGGTACTGGTAGTACTCAGTGGGAACTCTGGGTTCATACCGCCAGCACCCGGGACCCATTCTGGAGTTCTACGTTTCGCACTGAGCCATGTTCTCTGTGTGCAGGCATGGCTCTCCGAGGCAGACGGCAGTCTGTCCGATCACAGCAGTAGGAGACAGAGTGGAGGTTGTGGGTTGAACTCCCAGGCAACAACACCAGGCAGCAGCAGCTTGAAGCATCTGAATAACCGCAGCCCAGCCAGCAGAGAGAGGTGATCAGGACTAATTACTGCTTCTAACGATTGAGCTGAGCCTCTGAAGTGATTGGACTGAACTTTGCTCTCCCCTTCCAGCCCTGATGGCAGCTACACTGAGGACCAAGGAGCCGAACTTCACTTCAAGTCTCGCAGTTCAGAGTTTGATGACGACTTTGATGATGAAGAACCCTTACCAAGTATTGGCACCTGCAAGTCTCTGTATCCTTTCCAAGGTACTGACTCTGTTTGGACCATCTGGGACGGGTGGCCTGACGGCTTAAGACCTGAACTAAGGTAGCTAGTTCCGACTCACTCTGGGTCCCTGAGCAGAACTTTTCACCTCAGATTAAACACTGAGACGGAGGGCTAATTTTGCTTCTGTGTGATAATACTGTAGAACGATACTATAGGACGATACTGTGGAACGATACTATAGGACGATACTGTGGAACGATACTA